TGCGAAGTAAGCAGGTGCATCTACATGTGCTTACTACTCAGTAAACCTCCCTAGCCCCAAGTAAATTTGCTACCTGAAAATGCAAATAGCAAACTTACTTGAGATTAGTAATGGTGCAGTAGTGTTCACGTAGACACCAGACCAGGAGCAAAATTTGTGCTGGGAGTTAAGGCTCTCCCAGCACTGGCCCCACGGTCACAGAACCAGTGCTGGGAGCTCCCTGCTGGCAGGGACAGGGGAACCTATTCCCCACCCAGCTCCATGAGCACAGAGCTGGGGGAAGAACAGGCTGGGAAGTTTATTCCCTGCTCAGCTCTGCACTCAAGGAGAGTACTTTACATCAGCATTAATTTAGGCCAGATCAAATGCATGTGTAGACACACCCAGTGTGGCTGTGGCTACATTCAGGATTTCTTCAAGGTGTTTCTTCTGTTGCTCTAGTACTGCCATAGCACTGCCAGGGCCAGCAGCAGTGACACAGCTAGCACAGTCAAAGTGTAGGCGAGGTAACTGTAGTGTCACCTAATCTAGCACAGAGCAGTGGGCAACAATGTCAGCTCAGAGTGGCCATGAAATGGCTCATTTAGACCTGAGAGAAACACACAGGTTTTGCTTATGATAGCTCTTCCAAATAATGCTTGCATTGATGGAGCTATATCAATGGGAGAACTCCAATCCTGAACCCCTACACTTGAGTTCTGCCAACGTACCCCAGTCCTCACCTTCTCTGAACCTGAGGCTGACACTCAGCATGGCCAGTAGTAGTCCTTGGTTTTAGTGCACAGGTCCTCGTGGTGTTGCCATGCTAAAACCCACTTTCCCACTAAGTTAATCTTTAGTGCAGTGGTTCTCAGCCTTTGTAGACTCAAGGCACCCCTTGGAAAATACCAGCTCTTAGCTTTCCCCCTCTTTTTTTGAGCATGGAAAAGTAATACAGTATTTCTTCTGTTGCAAAGAACTCAGAAAGACACCAACAGGTTAGAATTTGCTGAACACCCTGGGTTCCTATTTGAAATCTCTTGGTTTATCTTATGAATTGTCTGTGTTTGTACATCTAACAATACTGATACTGTGTGCCACCCCGCAGCACCCTTAGAAGGATCTTGTGGCACCCGAGTTGAGAATCACTGCTTGAGTGATACACCTTGTTAAGAACTTGCTTTGGACAATGTTTCCTTCTTGTAATGGAAGGGTTAAACTCCTAGAGTTCCTGCATGTTGTGTTCTTGTTGGCCAGAGGGGCTTGGGAACACTCAAAGGTGACACAGTACCTTGTTACAACACATTTTAGCCTGCATTTGTGTGTATAATTAATTTAGTCTGTCTGGCTTAGTCTGAGGGAAAAATTGAGTGTGGTTCTGGAGGACAGTAACAGAATATGCTCTTTATTCTTTAAAATTCCTGGAGAGTCCATCCTTCTGTTTAACAGGCATGGAGCCTGAGTCAGAGAATCTAAGCGAACACTTTCTGCTTTGTCAGTACACAGCAACCCTCATCTCTGTGCTGCGGTATCGTTGCTCTTCCATTCATGCAGCTGTTCAATAGCTCTGCCAAAGCACCTGAATCCTCCTCTGCAGAAGCTGCCTTATTTATGTCCTGAACCTTACACACGGCTCTTCTAAAATACTCCCATTCTTCTTCTTGCCCTCCTTCCCCACTCCAATCTAGCAATACGTTTATACCCACATCTTCAGTGCCAGCATTCACCACTCTAGGCCAAACCTGCCAACTACCTCAAGTGTTATCTGAAGAACCCCTTCTCATCCAGCATGCGCATGACCCCCCAGCGCACACCTCTGTCCCTGCAGTGAACTGAAATCCTCTTGCCATTGCACTCCCAAGGCCCTACACAGTGCTTCTGCAAATCCACCTGAGTCCTCTCGATCCCCAACTCCTGCTGTTCCACACTGAGTTCTGCCGCTCTAGTGCCCCTGACCCAACACCCACTTCCTCCTAATATTTTCCTTCCACCCTTCCCACACTGCAGCTGGATGAGCTAAACTGACTGTTGTGATGGTTAAAGGCTCTGGGCATGAAGTCATTACAGTGAAAGAGGCTCCTTTGTGATTTTTCATATGCTAATGGAAATGTGTTTTGTGGGAATGCCCTTGTCTGGGTGCCAGGATGCTAATACCTTGCTGCTCCTGTTGGATCCACATAGCTCTACTTCATCAGCTGTGCCAGCAGGGTCACACAATAGCAGGCAAAAGGCAAGGACATGTCTCTACATGCCTTCTGTCGGCTGCTGGGCCATGGAAGAAGCCTTCTGCTTGGTGAGCTGGCATTGTTCTGCGGGCAGAAGGAAGGGCTTCTGTTGCCACAGGGGAGCTGAGAGTGTGGACAGACTCATGCTTTGGCTGACTGAACCTGAGAGTTGTGACACAGCGCAGACCAGGCCAGTTAGTACAAGTCGTTCAAAGTGTGGATGGCAGGGAGAAAGGGACCAGATCTTAGCCTCTCCCTGGTGCTGTTTCTTATGAAAGGGATACAGGCTCTGCTTGTGGGTAAGAGTACTTACTCATAGTACTGCAGTAAGAAAGCTGTGTCTCAGTTGCCGCTATTCTGTAGGCCACAATGACCTGGACTTCACAGCAGCATGGGCAGTACTTGGACTCCAAAAAACTGAAGACTTCTACCCCTAGAGGGAGAATCTCTATTGTCTGTACAGGTTTCATGACACACAGCTGAATAGCTGTGAGTTTGTCCAAAAGAGGGCAATGAAAAAAATATTGCCACAGTTCATTCATTTGCAAGTGTGACTATGGACTGACATCTGAAGAAGTAAGCCCCCTGCTTAGGAAAGCTTAGGAAAGCGTATGCTATACATCTCAGATTTACTGTAGTTAGCCTAGAAAGATGCAAATCTACCTGGTCTTCTGCCAGAACAAATTGTAGCTGATTAAAAGGGGAGAGACACTTACTTTGTATTAGCTACTCAGCACTGCTTTACCCCAGTGTAAGTAGGGTTGCCCCAAAGGTAAATAGACATTGCTTGCTGTTTCATTCATTAAGTTTCTATTTACCACAGGACAGGAGCAGGCACAAAACAGGTATCATCAGAGCAGCCAAGACAGGGTAAGTGCTCCCTTTCCCTTAACTCAGCATAATTTGTATCCTACATTTCCACAAACTTGTGGATGGGTGTATATGTCTGTGTCTTTTTGTTTGCACTTATGCTGGTGTGTTTTTGTTCTTTTGACATGTGTGTGGGTGTTGATGGACCTTGGCATGTGCTGTGTGTACATGCGTGTTTTAGGAGGAACTTAGTTACCGCCTGAGATCTCACAGTGACCAGAGGAAACTCTACAAGGACACACTGAAGGCAGACCTCAAGCAAACGAATGCCAACATTAAGAGCTGGGAGGAGCTGGCTGCCAACCGGCTCCAATGGTACTGCAACCTCAACAAAGTGGCAGCCCATTTAGAGGTAAAATGTCTTGCCCTCGAAGCAGAGAAGAGAGTGGAGGAAGGAAAAGGAGAGGAATGCCAGCTTGCAGCCTTCTCTCCCCTGTGAAAAGACCTGCACCTTCTGTGGATGTATCTATGGCTCAAGGATTGGACTCTTGAGCCACCAAAGGACCAGGCCCCGTGGATGAATCATGGTAAAGTCATCTTCCAATGGAGGGATTACCACCGCTGCTGCTGCTGCGGAGGGGCAGCAAGGCACTGCATGTCAGGCACTGGGCCAGGTTTCAGAAGTTCGGTTCTCTATTCCTGTGCTCTGGGGATAGGCGTTTATATGCGCCAGGGTGTCGAGATAGGAGTGCAACCCCTGCGCACCCTGCCTTCCATGTTGGTAGATTTGTATCCACCTTTCACACTGGTGTCAATGATGAACCAAGGGGCCAAATGCGGACAAGAGGCTGCTCAGGCAGCGCGTGTGTGTACATGCACATATGTGTGTGTATATGTATGTGTGTGTGTGTATATATATATATATGTGTGTATGTATGTGTTTTTGTGCATGTATGGGTGTATATGTGTGCATGTGGGTGTGTATGTACGTGTTTCTATGTGTGCATATGGATGTGTGCATTTGGGTGTGCATGTGTGTGTAGATCTGTATATGGGTATCTTTCTGTGGGTGTGTGGGTGTATGTGTGTATGGGTTTGTATGCATGTATGTATATGTCTATAATGTGTAAGTGTGTGAATGTGCGTGTGTGTGGCCAGGCTGCGTCGATCCCTTGCCCCGCAGGTCCCACCCCCTGCTCTGTGCCTTAGTTTCCCAGCGCGGGCGGAGGCGAGGCGAAGCGAGGCCGGGCCGGGACCGAACAGCTGCAAAACTGGGCGCGGGGCCTTTAAGCGGCGGCGGAGGGCGGGGTGAGCGGGCGGTGATGTCAGTGGGCGGGGTGTCGGGCGGCTGGCGGCGAGCGGGCAAGGAGCGCGGTGCACACAGGCGCGGACGGGCGGGCGGAGCGGGTAGAGCCGAGCGGAGCGGAGCG